TCTGTCTAAAGAGTGAGAGTGAGGAGAACACTAGCAAATCCATAACGAGACGAATCTTAACGGGATGCGTCAGCAGAAGCAGCAGATGGGGATAAGAAACAACCCTAACCCTAACCCTAACCCTAACCCTAACCCTAACCCTAACCCTAACCCTAACCCTAACCCTAACCCTAACCCTAACCCTAACCCTAACCCCATGCGCCTGAAGCTCGGTATCTGGGCTGGTGGCGACCCCAGCAACGCTCCTGGAACCATCGAGTGGGCTGGCGGTAAGACCGACTATGCTGCCGGTCCTTACACCATGTATATCAAGTCGGCCATCGTCGAGAACATGCACCCTTCCAAGACCTACACATACACCGATGATACTGGCGAGTGGCAGAGCATCGACTTCGATGGCAAAGATGGTGAGACTCCTGAGGAGACCATCACCTCCAAGACCACGACCACTAGGCATAGTTCTACCACTGTTCGACCAAGCACCACGGCCAGCTCTCCTAAGACCACTGGTCCTTCCGGATCCGCTAGCTCGACCTCTGCCGCTGGGTCCTCCACTCCCACCCCTACTCTCTTCCTTGGTGCTGCCTCTGCTCCCTCTACCTCCACCATAAGCCGGCTTGCCCTGCTGGGTCTGTTCACTGCTATGCTGCAGCTATAATTGGAGTTTGGGTAATTGGCGCTCCCTTCCATTTGGAATAAAATACTATGGTCACTATCATTAAAACATGATCCAACCCGAATGCCTATGTCATGTGAAGTCGGACAAGGCATTGTAGTGAGACGGTCAAGAACGATATAGCTAAAGTAATAGATGCGACGATAAGCATCGTCTGATTCTTTCCCTGTACCCATACTGGGGAAATGTGGATAGAGATGCACTAACCCACATTGTCAGAGTGTTTATTGCTTCAGAACGCCCACCTTGCTTGCTGGCCAACTGGTTAATGAATACAAGCCAGACCACTAAGTGGGCTGACGTGTCAGATTGCGACATGCTTGTGTGCCTCACATCTTCTTGCCCGCATGAACCTGGGGATGTGGGGGAATGTTAAGGCGAAACGCAAGGACTAGGGTCCTCAGTCAATCAAATAATTATACAAACAATCGTTGGATAAGTTCCACGGCGTAGGCTTGGCTCGTAATGCAGAGATGCGTCGGAACGAACAGCATTAGGCAGCAGGACGGCCCTACAAAGCAGCGGCCAAAGCGATCAAGCACCACGTCACTTCGGGGCAGGTTGGCGCCAATGCCGGAGCCAACATGACTCGCATTCCAGTGTTCTAGAGGCTTTATATTACGCCTCGTATGTAGCCCTCGACAATGTGTGGACCACCATGGACTTATGAATTTGTAACCGTACCATTACGACAAACAGGGGTGGTAGTAGGCAGAGTGCTGCCGGTAACAGCTGAATGTGAAAAGTATGAGATCAGTTCTTAGGGCAACGCTTGACGGGGTGAACCATTTGAAGAACTGAACGGCCAATATCCGATATCCAGATAGGGAGGCGTAGACTCACCGGAGGAGGATAAATTAGAGGAAGACGAGGAAGGAAATGGACGAGGAGCGAGAGTAGGAGAAGAGATTGTAACGGCCTCCGGTTCTTGCCCCTTGACAATTCCATCAATCGCTCTGATAGACCCCCATGCACTGGATTTATCCGTATACTCATACTTGGAGCCAGTTGCATAGTCTGAATTCATGGAAATTGGGCCAACCCCTCTTGGCATACGAACTATGAATTTATTTACCATGCAACCTCGAAGAATCTACCTCAGCAATGTACTCTAGATAAAATGTAATAAAACCCTTGACCATACATTCCATAACTTTAACTACTTTTCAAGAGCGTCTCTCTCATGGTGGTGTAGTGTAGGTGCCGGGCTGCCGACAGAGGGTCGGGTAGATGAAGGCGACAAGACGTAAACTGGGAACTGAAACTCCAGGATCCTCGTCTACAATCAACGTCAGTTTCTCTGACTGATTGACATAATTCGTAGTGACTCACGTTATTCCTGCAAAATCCAATCCCTAGCCTTATCTCAAGCTTGTAGCTCCGGCTGAGGTTGCACGTTTCAAATGTGGGAGTCAGATGCAACGGGACACGATGCCGACTCCATAGACTGCCATTGAGGATTAATAACGATCTGACTGTCGGGCTGTACTCGGGCACGAGTGGTTGGCGCAGATTTGCCGCCGTTTGTATGACCCACGAACGAGTCAGACTCTGCATCGATCCACGCGCTCGCACCTCCGTCGTTTCAATGAGCATGGATTGAAAATTGTGCAGATAGATCGCGTTGTTGCAATCGTTCATGTTCATGGTCTTTACCCTTAGCGCAATTGGGTGTCCTAGCAGAAGGAATGGTCCGTTCAAGATCTCCGCCTCGATCTCGTAGAACAGAGGTGGATATAACAGGTCCGAGCCCTCTGAAGTGCAAATGACGGTCTTTCTGTCCTTCGGCCCATGTAATGGGTGACGGATGGTAGATACTGGATGGAAAAACACGTCGTGGGTCTGCTTCATTATGTTAGGAGTTGCTATGGTTGACTTCGGGCGGAGTACTCAACGGCTTTGTGGGTCGCACATATGAGACCATTCATTGCGACGCTCGCCTCCAGCATATACCTGATCTCCTCCCACGTAGACCTATTCCCGGTGGAAGGTGGAAGCTTTCGCAACAGGTGGTGAGGCTGAGAGCCTGGCGATTGTTTGCGAGCAAGATGTACCGTGCCGGTCTTGTAGCATTCCGAGGCCTGGGGGAACTATACAATATAGAATGTTAGGTAAAGCTTTTTACTGAGTCTCGTGGTAGAGAAACACCCACCATGATCGAAAATGGAAAGGCATGCTCTCCTGGAGAGACAGTCACGGCCCCAGCTGTAAAAAACCCTGCGCAATGACTGGGAGGAAATATTTCTTCAGACTTTTTGAACAACTGCGTCTCATCAGATCAGACTCTGATGCCTGGAGTGTGAGAATATACCTCATGCGATTCAGTCAGCTTCCCTGAATCCAGTCTTGACGTCGCTGAGCCCGAGAGTTTGATCGTTATCCTTGCAAGGTCCACCTCTGCTCTATTATGGATGATGACATGTCCAGAGACCTCGTCTTCATTCGTGTAGATAGGCTGCTTTTTCTCAAGGTGGATTCGGATATCTATGCGGGATGGTGATCTGAAGAAGCGCTCCACTCTGGAGAGCATGAAGCAATGAGGGATTGGATTGACACGATATGGACACATTCAATAATTCAGATTAGACCAGTTTTATCTCCGAGCATGAGCTTGAAAACCCACCAAGGACATCGATATGCCAGCTTCCTTCTTGAAAGAGAGAACGGATAGCAGATACAGCGACAGATTCGGTGCTAACACTTGGTCTACTCTCATACGAGGCGGTCTCTCCGAGACCACTGCCGTTACCATCCGAGTAATTCTAGCTTGTTCGGTAACAGTGACGTCGCTAGTCACCACTGTATGAATTTGAGCCCTTGTTTCTTGCCTAGTTGGGGATTAATTTTGATTTCAGACGCTCTGGAAGTTGCAGAATCATCACTGATTCCGACTATAATTAATTTTGATCGGGAAGTCCGTGGTTGGCTCGGCATAAAAGCGGGCCCACCAAGGCCCAATCAAAATCGCAACTCTGCGTTTATTCTCCACTATACAGCTTGTAAGAGGATGTGCTGGTATACCCTCACAATAGGTGGGAACATGAGATGCACAGAAAACTGAGGGGTTGCAGCTAAATTCCGAACCTTTGTAGATGTTTTCTCTTCTCTGAGTACCCAGGGCTTTCATGATCCATGTACGAATCATTTGTCATTCATCACAGTATGGGTGAAGCACACGATAAACCTTCGCGGCCTTATTCTTCTAGGGGATGGGCAGTTACTGTTCACTTCGACAGCATATGCCTCCCATTGTAAGCTCCTCCAAGAAGTCTCAATCAATATTATTGACTGACATCCCTCTAGCCCAATACTCACGCTACCAACAAGCAGGATGATCTTTCACAATGCTATAGAGGTTGACATCATGCACAATGTCTTCAATTAACTTTCATTGTCCCACACTGCTAAGCCTTTAGGAATCGACATCTTCAATCAAATAGTGGATAGCATGTATATGGATTGTATAAGCAAATTACCTGAGCATCCGTCTGGTACGGATGTCAATTACAGATTTTTTGGAATTGAATCCGAGACCCACCACATAACTATAGAGGGATGCCATAGAAAAAATCTACTTCCTGAGACTAAGTTAATATCTGGTGTGCAAAAAAACAGGAATAATTATGGTGGACTGAATGTACAAACCAGCCAAAATAAATTTTTCACTATGATTACCTCCCACTACACCATGCTAGAATAGCCACATGCACTACCTTACTAGATGACATGCCTAGGGCCTATCTAGCATGCTTATAGAAAGTTAATATTGTCATATGATATATATGGTAATTATTATTATCCTAATCTATATCTAGAGTATTGATTCAATATCTAGGGGGTTAAATAAGTAGTGGTTAAAGGTTAGTTATATACTACAGAGTACAGAGTAATAGTTAACAACTTAACATTCCCTCTCCCTATAACTACATTATACGGATATCGAATTCTATATACTAAGGATATTGAATACTATAGTATCAATATCGAATTCTCATATAGTAGGGATATAAAATGCCATATAGTAAGGATATTGAATACTATATATTAGGGATATCAAATGCCATAGTATCAATATCAAATTTTATATACTAAGGATATCGAATACCATATACTAGGGATATTGAATACTATAGTATCGATATTGAATTCTCATGTAGTAGGGATATTAAATCCTTATATAGTAGGATATATATATCTTAAACATGCAGCACCTATGGTGGGGTTCCCCCCTTTCTTTTTATATATAGATAGATAAGGACTTTAGGCCATATATTCTGTATGGCCTCAGCCCTTTCTAGAGCCTATTACTAAGTATATATAGCCTAAAATCTAAGGTAGATATAGCTAAGGCCTTAATACCTTACTATAGTTTACTACTATAAGAAGTTAATATTACCTTTTTTAATACTCTAGATATTAACTGTCGCGGGCTAGAAGCCAATTCAACCTATATTATAGGTTTGGACTGTAAGAACTCGCTAAGGAACTTCTAACTAAGGCCGCGGCGGCCGAACAAATATCAACACGCGCACGGTAAACAATGTCAC